AAGGAAATACATGATTTAAAAATAGAAGTTTTTGATAATTTTAAAATCTGGAGAATTTACTGAACTATTCTCCCTGTTTTTGTCTAGTTTGAAGATTTTCATATAAAATAAAACAGGAAGAAGGCCACATCCCCCAGCGTTTGGGTTGAAGGGCAATATGAATGGCAGGACGTTTGTTGCCCCACATCATTCTGGGGGCAACAAACGATGTCCCCAGGACTCCTTTAACTCAGGTCGGGCTCCCCACCGTCATCACAAGTTGAACAGCCTTGGTTCAAGGTCTCAGACCTGTGCTGACCATAGCTGGTTCCAAACCATCTTATCACTATTTCTCCCAGGAAACCTTTGGAAATGTCACGCAAACAGGTCCCGAGGGCTCAGCCCGGCTGTCAGAGTTCTTCCGATGGGTCTCAAGATTCTTGCAGTGCCCCGGGGCCCTTATGCACCAAACAGCCATTTTTAACGGCTTTCAGCTCGTACTTGCTATTTGAATCTCAATTCACATGTCAGTCCAGGAGACCATGCTGAGCAGGCTCATGACAAGCTCATACCATCTGCATTAGTATTTTCCTCCATCATCTTGACAGTTGAGAGTTGGCAATATTACAATTCAGATGGCACTCTGCATTTGAAAGGAAAATTATGGCTTTTCAGAATGCAGCTGGCATGCAAGTGAACAGGACAAAGTTTCTAGGAAGATTTTTCTTCATTTTATGATATGAATATAATAAAATGAGGACTTAGCATGTGATTCTTACTTTAAATGAACAGTCAAAAGACACAGAGTTGTGGGGACAAAGGCAAACAAAGCATTCTGTTCCACAGTAGTAATTTTAATAAAAAGCAAAACCAGCAAAACAATCATTTATAAATGATGTCTTCTCTGTTGCAGAAGTTAACAGTGTTATTGCCGTGTAAATCACGTGGAAACGAGCTATTTTGGTGCCTAGCTGAGATATGTTTTTTACAGCACATTTCCAGCTTGCCAATTAGGCAGGAAAAGCTACAATTCACTTGCAGGGAGAGAACTTAGTTGAGGTACAGCCCACAGGTGAGAGAACCTCACGAGTCACTCCATGAGCTTAGGAGCAAACAGATTTCTCACGTGTGAAAAACAGAGGGCAAGACAGGACACGCAGAGGAGCGTTTCCAAGTGGTTTTCTTCTACTTCAGGTCAGTTCTGCACGTTACACCGGGACACTCGCTTCTGGGAAATGCATCGCACATGCTACCTGACCCAGAACTCAGATGTTTCAACGCTTACATGTACCACTTTCTTTCTCGGTCACCCAGTGGCAGTGGCCTGCTGATAAATGTTTAACACCCAGCTCTCCAGGGAGGAAAAACTTGACATGCGGTATTTGCCCATCTCTGTGGAGTAAATACTCCCACCGTGGTTGGTTTCAAGCTCCCAATGTGATGTCACTGAACAGTGGAGCTGGGAAGAGATGCACACAGCACACCATTGTATAGGATTTCCACCGTAGAAATGCAATAGATGTCAATAACCTCAGGAGCATAGGTAGAAAAATGTACTAAAATAATTAGAAAGTGATGAATTTTGAGTATTCACCTAGGTTTTTAATATATTTAATTGTAGGTTTTTAGAATTTAATTTTTAATGACGGCTGTGTTTAACAACCAGCTCATAAGATTCCTGAAAACCCAACAGTCTGCTCTCTTGGGCTCCAGCACACCACTGGTATTCTGGGGACCTCCAGATGGGACTAAACAAACCAGCCACCTGCCTAGTCCTGCCTTCACCCAGACCTGTGTTAGTTCTGCAGAGTGAGCCCCAGCTCTCCCCTTCCAGGAGATCAGAGTTCCTTCTAAATAGGAGATTCTGGGAGTCCCACTCAGCAGAATTTTAGCTGCTTCATTGGTTAGTTCCCTTTGATCTCAGGGCTGTCATCCCTGCCAAGCCCAGATGGTGCTGTTGGACTATCAGAGTTCCCTGCACAGACCCCAGGCCTTCTGCACTCCCCTCACCCTCTGTTTGACAGATTTAATTCAAGTCCCTGGCACCTCCTCCTCCCATTTGATGCAAAGCCAGCAAACCTATTACAGGAAGAGCCAAAGAAACCAGGTGCTAAATCACCCAAGGTCAGACTGCTCATCAGCTTTCCAGCCTCCCGGTTGTCAGAGGCAGCTATTCCTCCAGGATTTTTCTAAGCCAAACACACCCCTTATATCTTGCACTGTAGCATCAGAGAATCTCGAGGATGGATGGGACCTTCCGATCGGTGAGCCTAAAGCACAGCATGCTCGGCGGCCGCCAGCCCTCCCCAGCATCTTTCCCCAGCTGTAAGCTCCTGTCTGCCGCCTTTTATCCCTTGGCCCTGAGCCAGACCCACGGGCAGCAGCCGTTTGATAGCTGACAGTGGGGGAAGCCAGAGGAAAGGAGCCTGCTGAAAGCCAGGCATGTGGTTAAGGGCTTCACAGTCACAATTGTGTTTATCACATTTATAGGTGATGAACAAAAGTTCAGCAAGACTAAGTGACTTTCCCTAGGTCACAGAAGCTATAAGTGACTCAGGATTTGGCCTGGGGCTGTCTAGCTCAAGCTGGCACCGTTCACATTAGTCCATGTTGCCTTCCATAAAGTGTGACGACCCCGGCAGCCAGTGGTGGATGGGGGTGTCACGATGACTGGCTAGCGTAGTGGGAATGAAAGATGTACCATCTTAAGAGATGGCACTCACGTTCCCTTCGAGGAGGGAGCCGTCTTTGTGCAGGAAAATGCCTTTAATAAGCCACCGTGGTAGGTGAAATCTGGGAGGTAAGGGTGTTGGCAGGAATCACACTAAGAAAAGGAATGGCTGCACCGCCGTACGTGAGACCATAAATGGATTTGGTTTATCCCAAGGGAGGCAGGTAGCACGTGGAGTGAAAGGAGCAGATTCCTCTGTAGTGGATCGTGAGAGCCTTTGATGAATGGGGCGCCAAGTCTGCATTGCTGTAGCGTCTTCCATCTCCTCCCACATCGCTGAGACACACAGACACACGTGCACACACACACGCTGACTCCTTTGAATTTTGGTGTGTGTGGAAATGGGGGAGGGAACCGAGCTCCATGTCTCAGCTGATGCAGTTCAGGGACGAGACACCACTGTGCTAAAAATGAGGTAGAAGTCTGGAGTCAGCAGCGACTGCCAAAATACAAGTCCCTTAGAAACCAGAGATCCAAAGGCCGGTTAGCAGACCTGTCTGGATCTTCGGGGTGGAGGTGGGGGGATGGAGCAGGAGCTCCCCAGCTGACATATGGGCTACCACAGGGAGGACTCTGCACCTAGTGGCTGGCTGCGGGGGGCATGCACTGTGGAACTGGAAGTAGGAGGAAGCTTTTAACTTTGTGGCTGACTGCAACTAGAACATTTCGGAGAAGTTTGGGACCTTCAAGCCCTTGGCCTCCACAGAGGGTCACAGGGGTCTCCACAGACTCAAAAATTTTCAGTGAGGGAACATGAGCCATTAGGGCCAAGGACCTTCAGTCTGCTGGGCCGGGGCCCTCTCCTTCCCATCCCATCACTGATGGTGTGAGGTGGGGCTACATGGTCTTGCTGGTCTCAGGCAGGCACGGCCATGAGCCAGCATGCACCATGGAATCTCATATACACCTTTGGGGCTCTCACCTAAACGCCATCCCAGCGCCGAATCCTGCACAGCTGGCACATGAACACCATTTAGATCCAGAGCAGAGGCTCAGCAGAAGGGGACTGGGAAGAGGGTGGGTCCAGGATGGCAGCAGGCGCTAGACACCATGGAAGTATGCTAACTGGAAGAGTCAGTGCCTGGGTTCCAGCCTTGCTGCCTAGCTGAGAGGCCTTGGCTTCTGGGACTCAGGTCGCCCATCTCTAAATGGGGACTGCACTGGTCTCCAAAATGCTATTATTCCTGTGGTCTCAAACCTGGCTCGATGGGTGACTTTCTTAGTGCTGCCTCGGAGAACAGGAAATGGCAGAGCAAGACTACCAGAGGGCCGGGATGCCAGCACCAGGCTCAGGATGGTGCCTCGTGTTGACACGGGAACCACACCTGGAGAAGGAAACTGAAAGGCTGGAAGGAACGTTTTAGTGCTCTGCTCTGTGAGTTTTTGAAGGGAGGGCTGCAGGGTCCAGCCACAGACCTGGAATGAAAGTATAATATAGTATTAAGAAAGGTCTAAAACAATACAATCCTGAGATGGACGGTCTTCCAGGTAAAAACATTTGAAAGCCATCTCATCTGAGTCTGAGGCAGTCAAAAACAGAAGCAGGTTTTCTGTTAGGCTACTGCAGCAGATCTAAGGACACTAACTTCAAGGACAGTGACAAAAGTGTCTGTCAGGGTTCTTCCCAAAGCACTTGTGTAGACTGACAGCAAATAGCAGCCTCACTTCCTGGTGCAAAAGAAAGCGTTAAGCTGAAGTGCCCTTTGGATTCACTCTCTGAAATGACTCCTTAAACCCACCTCAGGGAGCTGTGGCTCTGGGCTTCCCCGCATAGCTTATTCTGGTCCATTCACTTCCAGGAGGGTCAGCTATTTCTTGAATGATCCTGGAAGCTGCAGTCAGCTGCTTCAGTCTCCCCGATTTACATAGTGCTCTCGTGATCAGCATTTATCAGGCCTTAAAGGGATGAGGCCCGTCTCTCCCACTTCAACAGAGGTGGATGGGGACCCATGCATCCTATTAGCTTTATACAGAATAATTTCAATGGACCCCCTACCTCTTATTAACACATATTCATGATTCTTTCATTAAAACAGAAGAGCCATTTCTTCCTCTTTCCTGCTGGAATTCCAAATGATCCCAATTCCTTATTTCTCTCACTAAAATGCCATAAGGCTATCACAGTTCTTTCTCCTTCCCTTCCCTCATCCCCGTGCCCAACTGTCATGCGATGCACTCTTGGCTGGGAGCAATGAGCCTGCAGTTGTGACACTAGGAGCTTATCATCCACTTCCATTGCGTTCTGGCGACCCCACACCCACCAGCAGTCAGACAGATACATAAAGACATGTTCCCCAAGTGCAGGATCATATATATTCTTAGTGACTGAGCTATTGGCATTCAAGTTCTGACCAGTTTCAAGATGCTGCTACTAGATAATGGGAAGACCGTATACAGACACTGTGGTTTATGTTACATAAGACTGTTAGTTGGAATACAAGAGTCAAGAGTTCCAGGTTATATACGATGCATCCAGAAGGCTGCTCAAATACACAGCGAGCCTTACTCCTTCCAGGTGGTAAAGCCTCTGAGAAGCTGCATCCTTCTTAGGGTCCTTACCATTGTTCCGTGAGCTAATGCCAACTTCAGGGCCTCTTCCTTTCACTCCCTCAGAGGAGGGGTGAGAAGCTGTTGTAAAATCAGATGTGGGAGGTGTTCTTCCACCACCTCCCACATAATACAGTCTCATCAATGAACTCCCTTCTACCTCAAAGCACCCCCAAGAGCTAAACAGGCATCTTCCCTAACTGAAGAACAGAAAAAATGGGGGCACAGAGACCACCTGATTGTACAAGTTCAATCAGGTGTATAAGGAGAGAGCCAGAACCAGGACCTGGCCCTGTGCCCCATGTTCCTCCCAGCAGGCCTTGTGGGCAGCTGTGACATGTGGCCCAGCCACCTGACTGTTTTAATGACTGAGGCTCACAGAGTCCACAGCTAGTATGGGAAACCTGGAGGGGGGCTATGATCCAGCTTTCTCTGCTTCCAGACAGGTCTAGGGTCCAAGCGATGATGCCAATGACTACAGATGTCACTAGCAGCTGGAAAATGGGCCCCTCTGACACATCTGGAAGCGCTCTCTAGCTGCTCTGCTCAGGATAGGGCCCACTAGCATGCTTTTAGATAAAGTGGGAAGACTGGACTTACACTAAACAGTGAGAATGAGCGAATGCAGTTTCCAGAGGTCATTTGATTCCAATGTTTACACAGAAAGCATCTGGCCAACTTGAGAGAGAAGAGACCTAAGACTATCCTTCTAAACCTACCCTGAGCAGTAAATATAAGATACATGTTGTTACCTATATAAAGATGAAGTATTCCATTTTCAACTGTGTAAGACACGTTACTAAGGTTACAGTTTTGGGGCATGCACCCTATATTGGACTGCATTTAAACTACACCTGTGTAGTGTGGCATTGCTATTATATGGCGCTGGACATTTTCCAATTGTACAACTGTTACTTGGTGAGATCTGATTTTAGCCACAATATTTTAAAAGCCAATTTCTATTTGTGTGTTGTGAAAAAATGGAATTGTTTGACCTTATACACACTTTACATTTACAGCAGAATAAGCACAGGCATTTATACACCCAAATGGGCGCTGTTGCCTTCACAGTAGTCACCTTGGGAAGATGTATGTTTAGTCTAATGAAGCTGACCTTACTCAGAACATCTCCAGAACTGTCCTTGGAAACTGTCTCCTTATAAGCTTTCCTCAATGTTGTTAAGTCTCGAGAAATGTTCTTTTTAATAGCCAATGAGCATTAGAAGAAAAATCTGATAAATAAAATGGGTGATGGCACATAGGTCTACCTCTGGGGAAGGGTGGTGTAAAAAACAAGACCTGACTATAAGGCTGAGTCCTCTCTCCTTGAATGGTTTCAAAGATAACCCCAAGCAGGAATTCTATGTGTTCTTGGCACATGCAACATCACAGCTCAAGAGGATGATCTCCCAAGGAAATAACCCTGATTATGGTACCTCTTGAGTGCATGTTTTGGTGTATTTGGTTAAAAAGGTAGCCTTGCTCGTTTGCAGTCATACTTCATATAGCAGAAGTGGAACACTCCCTTTCCATGACTTCTCCCAAGGGGAGGCTCAACATCTACTGCTTGAAGAGTTGAAACGAAAAGCACTTGGTGTCACATCTACAGTATCCAACCCCCCCAAATGTGCAATGAGTAAGTCCTGATACCTGAGTCTCCCCAGTTTGGAAAGGTGGGTAAGGACAGGTCTCTGGAACCCGAATGAGACTAGAATGTTAAGGGGATTGGAGTGTGTTTCTAATGGCCCTATCTACCTAACGGGCCCACATACCAACTCATATAAGAAAACCTCCTACAGCTAAGCAGTGTCCACAAAGGTTCAGTAGCGGAGGGGGAAAGTGATTCTCTTCCAGTAGCTTTTCATGATATAAACCAATGGCTTCTAGATGACAAGTGAAAATCGTCCATTGAAAAGAAAGTCCATGGTGTCTGGTCCTAGTGCACACTTAAGAAATAGACGGTGTGGCCACTAGCTCGTTGAAGTGCATTTCCAGCTGAGGCCAAAGGCAGCAAAGGTGCAAGAGGCTGCTGGCAGCAGGCTGGCGTTAGTTGAAGCGGGGTCTGTAAATTCGAAGCGGCAACGCCATCTGTAGAATGCCCCAGTTACAGCAGGACATTTGCCAACCACTGAAGTCGAAGAACGTTCAATTTTACTTTCTACAAAGTGCTTCGTTGAAAATACTAATGAGGAAGCTCCCTAGGACACCATCTCCTGAGTGTCAGAGAAATATGGTCAAGATGGTGATGGATGGGGAGCAGAGGTCGATCCTCTAATAGTATTTGAACTGTGTACTCTCCAAGCATCACACACACACACACTCTCTCTCTCTCTTTGAAAAGCACATAGCCGCAGTCACATTCCACCTCTTCTGCACACGCCTCCATCAGGTGGTTGCTGTGAGAACAGTATTTTCAGGAGCCGTTCCCAGTTAATGGGCTCTGCTACTAAAAGCCAGAAGCAGCAGCACAGAGTCAGCGCCCTAAAATCAGTCGTTATGGCCGAGTGCTTGCAGCAGACCTCTCTCTCAAACTGATCAGGGGGGATGCTGTTCCTGGTGTTTTTAGATGAGCCTTTGTAAAAACCACAAAGCTAGGCCGTTTGCTTAAATCATCCTTAGAAAGAATGCTGAGTGCCCAGATGGGATTTCTAATTTCTGTGCAAATGAAATCACATTAGTCCAGATTTTATTCATTCAAAACTACTAGGGAAGCAGTAGGATTTGGTTTAAATGCTGCCAACAAAAAGCAGGAATTCACTGAAGTTTTAATTCGGAAGCAATCCTGTTGTTAATGTTGTAGCTGGGCTCGGGCAGCGTGGGGGGCGGGGGCCCCTTCGTGCTTGCTGAGGAGCCCCGGACCTCTCCCAGTTCAGGCTCACTCTCGCTAGAGGTAGACCCATTGTTGACGGTGTAGATGCTCTCTGCAACTCCCTGAGCTGAAGCACAGCCGTCTGGCTCGCTCTTCTCCCTGGTACTAGACAGTCCTGGGAGGACGGCCATCTTCCCAGTCTGCATATTTGGCAGCAAGGACATGGCATAGTCTGCGATGATTGCACCCACGTCTAAGTTGCATGCCTGGTCGAAGGCGAGGAAACCCACGTTGGCATTTGCCTCACACACCACGAAGGAGCCATCGTCCATGATGAGGAGATCAATGCCACAGAAGTCCATGCCCAGGATGTTGGACACCTGAATAGCCAACTGCTTGCCTTGTTCTGTCAGCGGGCACTTGACGCCCACACCACCTGTGGGGAAAGCACAGTGACGTAATGATGACATTAGACACTGACTAACAAGTCAAAGGACCCTTCGAGGAGGAGAAGGAGGGATACTGAGGAGCAGCAAGCATTTTCATTGCTCACAAAAGGTCTGGAAGGAAATCAGTATCCCCTTTGGGAAAACAATATAGTCATTTTTTATCTAGTCTTAAAAATGCTTATATCCTCTGACTCAGTCATTCTACTACTAAGGAGATAATCTATGTAATAGAGAAAAAGCTTGATGCAGACAGATGTTAATAAGAGTTATTTAAAATACTGAAAAATCGCCCCGCTGGTGTGGCTCAGTGGTTAAATATTGACCGAGGATCCAGGAGATCTTGGTTCAATTCCCCATCAGGGCACATGCCCAGGTTGCGGGCTCGATCCTCATTGGGGGGCATGCAGGAGGCAGCTGACCAATGACTCTCTCATCATTGATGTTTCTATCTCTCTCTCTCCCTCTGCCTTCTTCTCTCCGAGATCAATAAAGATATATTAAAGTAAATAAATAAATAAATAAAATACTGAAAAATCATTGTGTTTGTGATCCCATAGGAAAATACATAGGATTAAAGACTGTACAGTAAGTATAGCCATAACTATGCAAAAGAATATTAGAAAAAGATTGGAGGGAATGATGCCAAAATGTTAACATTGGTTGTCTCTAGATGGTGAAATTAATGATAATTATCTTTTCACTTGACTTTACTATATTTTCCAAGTTTTCTACATTGAGAATGTATTCCTTTTATAATTAGAAAAAAACCACAGACTTAACCTATTCTTTTTTAAGTAGAGAGAGCTGGAGAGGCTTGAGACAAAATCCGGTACCAAGGACAGAAAGAGTCTGATTGCCCTGACTATAGGTATTTCTTTCATATTACCAACATACAAATTCATTTAATGAGGTTGACAATAGCTTTCTGCGTTGGGGACAAGAATTTACAGTCTTCCTGGAACATCTTCATTCACCACAACAGGAAACAAGCTTTACCAAACAGGTTCATGGGGCGGGGTTAGGCATTTGACCCAAACATACACTGTAGCTTTCTAATAACATCATACACATAAGAAAAAAGGGAATATGTTCTGCCTCCCGTCACTGCCTTAGTCTAGACCCTCACTATTTCCTGCCTGAGCCGTTACAGCAGCTTCCATACTCGTCTCCACTGTGTAAACCTGACCGCTAAGTCCTAACACCTACAGGACAGGGTTCAAACCTCAGTGTCCCCACAGCCCTGGCCTGACCTCTGCCCCGGCACTTACACCCTGCGCACTGCCTGTTGCTATGGAAAGGGCGCGGTTCTCATTCGTGGCTGATGGTCCTGGCACCTAGCAGAGGGTCTAACTAGATAGGAGCGACCCGTACACATTTACTGAATGGGTCCCAGCATCTAATGAAAAACCCCGGCGGCTTCCCAGGCCCCCAAGCAGCCGCTGAGCCCTGACCCTTACCGAGAGAGCAGTTGCTCTGCATCCGGCCGTCTGTGGAGCAGCGAAGCATAGAGCCTATCACCTGGCCCCCGACCACCACCACCCGGATATCTTTCCCATGTGACTCCTTCACGTACTTCTGGAACAGGTAGGGCACATCGTGGCGGACCAGGTGGCAGATGTCTGAGAGGTGATGTTTGTCTCTTGCAAGGAAGACAGCTTTTCCTTCAAGAAGAAAGACAAAAAACAAGAGAAGGCATCAGAGAAGCCTCTGAACCCTGTGCTGGCCGTCCCGTCTCCTGGTCCCTCACAGTCACCAATTCTTTCTGAACCTGCCTCACTTCTATCCTTTCTATTTCTCTGACTAGGCTTTTGCTTCCTATCAAATGGCTATAGAACCGTATTTTCTCTTGATTTTGCTCAGGTCTTGATGTTGACCATCTCCCTCTACCACCACTCTTATCAAAATAAAATAATGTATAAACTAAAACAAACAATACTACTACTACTACTAATGTATTCCAAAAATACAGAGAAGGGCTCCAAATAAAATCCTCAGGAGCTAGTCAGTTCAGTTCCCAAAGAGTTAGTTATTAGCCTCTCATCCCCCTGAGGATGCGGGTTAGGTAGGGTCCATGTCTAACTCACTTTTCTAGAACCATGGACAAAGTGCTATGGAAACACAAAGGGAAGAGCAATTCCATTTGCCTGGGAGGGCAGGAGGGAGGCGGGAGATGCGGGGGGAAGGGAAATGACACGTGGAGCTGGCCTTAAGGACGAGCAGAGGCTGACTAGAGGCTGAGGAAGGCGGCATTCCCAGCAGAGGTTTACGAAGAAAACGCACGGCCTCGGGGAGAGAGCAGCAGGGATGGATACGGGGGTGGCCAGAGAGGCTGCAAAGGAAGCTGGAGGCTCTTCCTCAGGGGCCTTCAGTGCCATGAGGAGGAATGTGGACTTTGTCTAACAGGCAGCACAGGCTCTTGAGAGGGCTTTTCAGCAGGGAGTGACAAGAACAGATCTGTTTCAGAGGAATTACTCCCCCAAAAGAAGAGGGTGCACTGGCAGTGAGTTAGGGCAACCAGTCAAGTCAGGGGTCTGCCGCCACGTCCAGGGAAGGGATGAAAAGGTGGGAACAGAGGGGAGGGGCAGAGGTAAGGAGAAAATGGCAAGCTCCTCCCGAGGAGCTCTGCTGCTCCCAGAGGTGCTTCTCCCTGATGAGGGTCTTGTCCTGGCAGAGCTGTGGCCCTAAAGGAAGCGCAGGAGCAGCACTGACCCTGGTGTCCTCGTGTGCTCTTCACCACGACCGGGTAGCCCAGGGGCTCAGCTTCATCGATCATTTTTGAAAAGTCCTCATGCCCACCTGCCAAGAAAAGGTAAAAGTCAGCGAAGGTAAGGCTGACGGTTGGGGAGCACTCAGCCTGGAGCTATTCTCTCAAGGCCTGCTATCCCTCTGCTCAAAGCAATTCGAACCCGTTCAATCCGACAGGCATGCATTGTGTACCTGTAATGGCAGAGGGAGGAAAGAGATCAGGACACCGGCATTTATCACGGACTTCTATGCAGCACAAGCTGCACATGCTCCAGGTTGTGTAATCCTCTCACAGTCCCACAGGCAGGGCAGGTATTTTTCCCTTTATAATGGCTGCCCAAGGCAGAATTCTAAGGTGGTTCTGGTCCTGGCCGGGTAGCTCAGTTGGTTAGAGCATCATCCCAATACACCAACATTGTGGGTTCGATCCCCAATCAGGGCACATCCAAGCACCAACCAATGAATGCACAAATAAGTGGAACAACAAATTGATGTTTCTCTCTCGCTCTTTCTTCTCTTTAAAATCAATAAATATAATTTAAAAAGAAAAGATGGCCCTGAAGATTCCTACCTGCTGGTGTACACACCTGGTATAACGCCCTCCCTTGAATGTGGGAGGGACCAGTAAATACAATGGGATATCACTCCTGTGATCAGGTCTACTTTGAGTTACTTAAGAGAAGATGATTCATGGTAGGCCTGACCTAATCAGGTGAGCTCTTCAAAAAAAGGTGAGGCGTCAGAGAGGAGTTCCCTGCTGGCCTTGAAGGAGCTAACTTCCATATTGTAGAGAAGGCCATGTGGTAGGGATAGGGGGCAATTTTAGGAGCTGAGAACAACCCTCAGTTGATAGCCAGCAAGAAAGGGGGGGGGTCCCTCAATCCCTACCACTGCAAGGAACTAAATGCCAACAACCAGTGAGCTTGGTAGACCCCAGATCTCAGGTGAAATCACGGCCCAGCTACCCCTTGATTTTAGCCTATGAGACCTGAGCAAAGAACCCAGCTATGCTGTGGCTGGACTTCTGATCTACAGAAACTGTGAGAAAATAAATGGATGTTATTTTAAGCCGCTAGGTTTTTAGTAATGTTATATAGCAATAGAAAACCAATACCCAAAGAAACCAAGCCTGGCGATTTGACTCATCCAAAGTTAAGGCAAGACTCAAAAGCCTACATTGACTCCACTGTACTCCTTTAAGTCTTAATTTTTAAAACATGAATAATAATGTATATTACCATCTTTCTAAATTGTTTTTACAAACTTTGCTGATTTCCTACACATTTGCATCTCTGGGGGACCACTAGTCTGCCTACCACAGGGGGTACTGCAGTTCATCAATTTTTACAAAGCAAAATACTCTGCAATCCTAATACCTGTTTTGTTCACGTAAGTGCTAATGGTTTTTTGAAAAAATGAAGAGGCGTTGTAGATAATTAGGGGCATCTTCAAAAGAGGATGTTATATAAGAAGGTAACTCCCAACTTCCTGACACCTGCTGATAAATTCAACTCCTCTCTAGCCCTCCTCTTTTCCTTCCCCCCTAATACAGAGAAAGAGGGGTCCCTATCGCAGGCCATCCCTGCACCTGCGCCTCGGACCCCTTTCCCTCTCACCTCCTCAGGGATCTTGCACCACTAAGTGTCCCCTCTCTGCTGTATCTTCAACTTTTCCCAGTTCTTAATTCCATCACCATTTTAAACATACACAGTTTTCTCCCATCCTAAACAAGTAAAACCTGTTCCCTGACCCTGCCTCATTCCTTAACTGCAACTCTGTGTCCCTACAGTCAAGCTACGTGAAAGGGTTTCCATTTCCTCACTTCCCATTCATCTCCTCACCCTTGACAATCAGGCTTCTCTCCCCATCAGGACGCTGAAGCTGTGTCCATTAAACGCCCTGCTGCTAAATGCAACACGTGCCTCAGCGCTTACGCTGCTTGTCCTCTGAGAATCAGTCAGCACTCTTCACTGTCCCAGCCCCACTGGCGGCTCTTTCCGCGGCTTCTGTCATCTCTCCTCCCCTCACCTCTCCAGCTGCTCCTGCCTCGGCTCTTATACAGGCTCCTCTTCCTTTACCCATTCCCTAAGGGAGTCCCTCTGGAACCCTCTTTTATTAAATTTGATTTTTGTATTGTGGTAGAACATACATAACATAAAATTTGTCATTTTAACCATTTTTGGTGTACAGTGTAGACTTATTCATTCTCCATATCCCCCCTCCCCCGCCCCCCCAGACATCCCATCCATTCTTGCGACTTCACTTAACGTAATAAAGGCTTCCGCCTCCCTAGCCTACACTTCTTCCTGGAGCTCCAGGTCCAGCTGCCTACTGAATATTTTTACTTGCACCTCAAACATGTCCCAAACTGAAATCGTCTCTCTCCCACAATCCCTCACCCCCTACCCGCCAATGTCTCTCCTCTCCCACGTTTCTAGTCTCCGTGAGTGTTCGATATCACGCCTGGTTGCCCAAACCAGAAGCCAGTCACTCTTAATTCCTCTCCATGCCCCTCCTACCCAATCGATCATCGTGTCCTATTATTTCTTTCTCCTCCGTAAGTCCTGAATCTGTGGATTTATCTTCGTTCTTACTGTGGCTGCTTTTGTTTAGACCGTCACTGCTCTTTTGAATGGTTTGAAAAGGCTGCCACTACATATTCTTGTCTTTACTTTGCTTCTTTCTGCTGAATTCCTTCTTCATAGTGTAGCCAAAGTGATACTCTGAACTCTGATCAGGCCACCTCCTCGCTTAAAGCCCAGGAACTTCCTGTTAGTCTCAGGATTAGCTCTAGTCTCCTTCACATACTGTATATAGCGTATGTAGCTACCTCTTATCTTTCTAGCCGTGTATCTCAACTCAGTCTCCCTTACGTTCTACAAACTACTCAAAATACCACCAACTGGTCACGCTCCCTCCTGCCTCTAGGTCCTTCCATGTTCTCTCTGCTTAGACTACTACCCTGCCCCTTCCTTTAGCTGGGTAACTTCAGCTTAGTTTAGATATTATTTCTTTTGGGAAGCCCTCCTCAGTATCTTCTAAACTCCCTGGGAGTTCTCCTACGTATTCTCTTACCACACTGCACTAACTCTTATCATGGCACTTGCTACACTGCACTGAACTTGCCTGGTTACTTGCTGTCTCTGCCTCTGATGACCCGGGGATGCCTCGAGGGCAGGACTCTTACTGCTATAGTCCAGTGCCCAGTATGGTGGTTGGCACATAGTGTGCACCGGATACATGGTTAATGAATGAATTACAGAGAGAAAGAAGTAAAGGCATTTCAGACAGGGGGAGTGGCCAGGATAAAGACTCAAGATGTTGAATGACCTAAGATGAACAGCTCCATACTGAAAACCAGCAAGACATTTGAGGCCTACTGGGGACAGAAAACACAGAAGTACAGCTGGGAAAGATAAACGTCAACCCTATTTCAAGGACACTCACCATAAGAGAAGGTGTCTGGCATGGGGACTCCATGTCCAGCCAGCTCTTGGAATGTCCAGAATTTGTTGACACAATTTAAAATGCTCTGCGGGCGGTTGACTAAGCGGCAGCCCAACTTCTCCAGGTGTCGCAGGACCGTGATGTCACTGTCCGACTGCAGAAAGGGGGTGGACACCCGAACAAGCACCACATCCGGGTAAGAGGTGAGGGCCTTCTGGTTCAGCTGTAGGCCTACAATCGAAGGACAAAAGTGAGCTCTGTGTTGCCGTCATTTAGTCCCACCAGAAGAACTCATTCCAACAGACTCCTTAAGACTGAACCCAGCAGGAAGATAACCTTGGAAATGGCACTTGGATATCCTGTTGTAACAAGAAAGCCACAGTCAACTCTACATTTCAAACAAATGGGCAGAGCATGATTATGAGGAAGCACAAAAGGATGAACAGGAAAAAAAAAGGCAGCATATCAAGACGAATCCACATTAGAAGAATCCACAGGAGACAGTCCAGTCCAGCCCCTTCCTTCCATAGAGCCCTAGCAGGACTCCAAGTACGGTGCGCTGAGGAGGCTGCAGACAACGAAAAGGAAGCACCATGGCCCACTTCAGGGGTCCTTACTACTCTTCTAGGACTTACCCATTAAGTCTATCTGAAATACACAGGCATTTAAATGATTTTTATGAACACAACGAAGGCAAAAATGTCAATGTTAAGTGAGGAAAACAGGGAACAAAATTATAAATACAAATTAGAAAAAGCTGAAAGGAAATACAGCAACACTTTAACAGTTGGTAATGGGATTATAGGTGATTTCCTATTTTATACTTATCTATATTTTCCAAAATGTCTCCAAGTGCATATTACCTTTATAGCAAAAAATTTTTTTGAAAATCAATCTACTACGAATCAATTCAATATTAAAACTAGGAGGCATCTGAAGACAATTGATCCATGCAGCAAAAGAACCTGAACGGGTATTACACTGGGTAAACTGGGAGTATTAGCTTGAAGTGAGGACTCAGAGGAACAGGAGTGTGGTCTTTAAGAATCTGTAGGCGACTATGGAGAAGGGCTATTTGGCTTGTCTATGACCCCAAGAGATGGAGCTAACCATGAGCTATCCATGTCTGTATATCTCTGCATCCCAGCCCCTAGAACAGTGCCTGGGGCATGACAGGCACATGATGTCTTTTGAATTGTACAGAAGCTATGGGGAGATAGATCTGGAATCAACAAAAGGGATACTTCTCCAGTGCCTTAGGATGGAAGGGGCGGAGGCTCCTGGTCACCTGAGGATGGCACAGAGGGAATGCAAGGGTCAGATAAGTTCACAGCAACCTGCTCGGTCTCTTTCAACTTCGATATCCTATGGTTTGTATCCCTACAGGTAGTTATCTGGGTATCTGTGGTGCACCAGCATCCAAGAATGGGATGATGGAGACATGAAATGGATGTGAGAATAATGAGAACTGAGTTCGGGGAACAACTTGGTCTGCCTTAGTGAACCTTAAAGGAGTTTCCAAAATACTCTAAAGAAAGCCTTTGAGACACAGTTTGAAAACCATCTTACAGGCTTTAACCTAAAGCACCTTTTATTTCAAAACGTGATATTCTGGCCCTGGCCAATGTGGTTCAGCGGTAGAGCTCTGGTCCATGCACTGAAGGGTCCTGAGTTTGATTCCTGGTGAAGGCCACGTACCTGGGCTGAGGTCTGCTCCCCGGCCCTGGTCAGGGCACGTTCGGGAAGCAACCAATAGACGTTTCTCTCTCTCTCTTTCTCTCTCCCTTCCACTCTCTCTAAAAATCAATGGAAAAAATACCCTCAGGTGAGGATTAGCAACAACAAAAAAGTGATATTCTGCACAGTCATATGATTCCAAGAAAACAAAAGGTGCTAAAGGAATTCCCCTTTCTCTATTGGGGCACGAATAATATTAATACAAAAACAACAAGAAAAAAACAAACAAAACAAAGCAAAAGCAACCAAACAAAAACAAAATCAGGCAGACAGCTCTGCTGGGAGGTGGGAATGTTGAGGGGGTGGAGGGATTAAGCAAAAATGCAAAAAAGAAAGGAGAAAGAACTCATGGATATGAGCAACAGTGCAGTGATTGTGGTGGGGAGGGGGGTGGGTGGAGGTGGAAGAGGGTATAGGGAGATAAATGGTGATGGGATTTAAAAAAAATAAAAATAACTAATAAATAAATTAAAATTAAATTAAAATTTTAAAAACCACAAAAACAAAGTATGGACCTAACTTGCACCGTTTCCCCCCATTTCTAGGAGATATTTTGTCAACTTAAAAAGGGGGAGTTGCTGTAATCATTAAGAGAAATTGTTTGTAGTACTTCTGCTGGCAGTGTGAACACAAGGAACGGGCGCACAGTTCTCATGGATGGCTTATGAAGAACGTTCAGGCTATCCTCGCTTTGCCACCGGAAAATAGCAGCATTTATGTATGCCTTTTCCTTTGCCACTTCTAGGCCCTATAGGAAATCATATGAAGGGGGTTGGGGGGTGGGAAAGCAAGCCCTGTATAGTATCCTCAAAACTGACAGGAAAAGAAAGACAAGTGTTCAAGTTGATGCAAATGGTGAGAAAATGCAGAACACGCAGGGAAAAGGCAATGGCCCAGGACAACACTACATAAGGAGACAAAATATTAAAAAATGCTGCGAAACTATACGATGCTATACACAGTACGTAAGGCGCTGGCATTAGCACTGCACAAACATTCTGCGAAGCGAGGAAGGACAACTGATGGAGATTTATTATCACTTGATGAGAAAACTGGCTTTGCAACAGAAAAGTGACCTAGAGAAATGAGAAGCAGCAGAAACGTCTGGCTTTTAAATTCCAACATGAGACCACAGATGGACAGTTACACTTCCAAATGCGAAGAAAGGAATTCAATCATCTCTGGAAATACCAACCACAAGTGGACAGAGACAGCTCAGCCTCAACAAGCAGATTCACATATACCTAGGAAGTCTTACCAGGACTTCATCTCTCTTCTCCAAAGGTAAATCTTTGGGCCTGGCTCATTCCAACTGAAGCCTTTAATAAATGAAGAATGGAATGGGTTAAAGTGTAGCTGAAAAGGTCTACCAGTTAGACAGGTTTGGGCTTTGGCTTTACCAGCTGTCCAGCTCTGTGCAGAGAGGGACACACCAGGTTTAGGGATATAGGCAGGACTCACACAACCAGCTACTTCTCTGCCCATTGACGGCTCCAGTATTCTTGTTATGGACAGCTTCACTTGTCCCCTATTCATTCCTGTCCTCTGCTGTCTAAACCTAGTTTATATCACCATTTCTAAAAAAGTAGCAGGCAAAAGGCTGCCACTCACTATGGCTTCAGTGGGGACATCAGTTCCACACAGACATGGCTAAGAACAACATGGGTTTAAGGCTGGCCCTTGCAAACCTGTCGGGGAATTCTGAGACTTTCAACCACTTGAGTAATCCCTCTCCCTCTCTTCATTCATCTCTATCCTTAGGAAAGGACCTGATAAACTTAATACAGGATGGACCTTAATGTGTCACCCATCCCATGATCCACTGTAATCTACAGGCTTCAAGCTAAGGGAGTGAAGAGCTGATGCAAGGTATCGGAGGGCAGGTCTCTGCTTGGCGGCCAGTGAATGGAAGGGAACCCCTCAACAGTAAGAGGTTCGTGCCCTCAAATCACAAGGGACTTCATGAGCTTCAGTGCCCTAGTGCTCTCGGGCATCACCTTGATCTAGGGAGCAGGGCAGGGAGAAGGGAGCTGAGTTGCTTCTGGGATATTTGGGGGTCTCCCAGACTCCTAGATTGGGCTTGAGATTTACTATTTAGCCCCAATAATATTTTCTCCATATCACTTCTAAAGAGAATAATCTACTCTCATGGGCAATTATGTTCTGATTTCCTTTTGAACTCTCTATTATTTATATTTGGAAATATTTTAATGTATTTAAAACAAGATAGAAAAATGCGTAACTTTTCCCAAAGAACCGAGACTGTTTTCTAATCTATATATTGGGTTAAATTAAGTTAATCCTACAAAACTAGACTTGTGCATTTGTATGTACAACAGCAAAGAAACATACTTTATAATACAGAGAAATAGTTTTAGAAATAAACAAATCATTATTGGAACACAGAGCTCTAAAAATTAAAAACCACTCTCAGTCACTCACATGAACAGAGGGATGAGGCATGAATAAAAGGTGTGGTCATTCAGATCTGAATTTGGCTAGCATTTTACTAAGCACCTGCTGTGTTTTAGGTACTTTGCTAAGAACTTCCACATATATTATCTCATTTAAATTAGAGATGTCTGCAATAGATCTGACTATAAAAGTCTTTGCCTTTACACAGAACTGATACATAATGGGTCCCCACCCTCTCAACCTGTGCACACGCAGCACTAATTTATGTGCACACACACACACATACAAACACACGCACACCCCACCCCCTTAGCTTCACAAAGAAAGCTTCAAAACTAAACTGGTTTCTAATATGCCAGGAAAAAACCCTCATATGCAAAGGAAACAGCTGAAACAAGAAAACAGGACACCGGAGCATGAGAGCAAGCCGGGACCTCAGTTACGGTGGCACTTAGAGCCATCATATGCCAGCAGGATCAGGTAACGGCAGTGGCTGGTAGCGAGGCTCTGAAAGTTGTCAGAAAGGAATCAATAATATAAATAAAGTAAGTGGATAGCCCATTAAGGGCTTCACATTATGTTGTGTTATGAGGAAGATGTGTCACCCGAAACTTGATCGCACGCATCGCATGCTCCAGGTTTTCCCTCAGTTCTTCCTGCCCAGCCCTCAGCATTTTCTCATAAGGAAAAGTTATTTTTATTCTTAGCAAGGAGATGCCATCGTCACTCCTCCTGCCCTTTTAAAGTCCTTTGTTACAATGCCCAAAGAAATCTCCACCTCATTAAAACTCACAGTGAATATGTGGAAACTTTCTCTTTCCACCAACTGCTGTCTTGAGGTCATTTAATTCAAAGTAACCTTTACCGAACCGGAATGAGCGAGATGCACTACGAAGCAGGCACACAAACACGAACCAGGCGGTCTTCGCCTACCTGGAGCGTACAGTCTCCCCATGGAGAAAGAATTATACACGAATATTCATTCATTCACTCACTCAACACACATTTGTTGTCTCATGCATTCATTCAGCCAACATTTACTTAGCACCTACTCTGGGCCAAGCCCAGCGCTGGTGGGGGTGCCCCAGAAGCACTCCCAGAGAGGACCCACGTGCAGGAGGTTTATGATCGCCGTGGTTAATGTCAGGAAACACTGTTAAGGAGTGGAGGAGGGAACGAGGCCATAAAGGGTGTGTTATCAAGTGAGCGACCACCCTGGCAACTGAGGCTTAATCCCGAGCAACAATAAGACATGGTTCAGTGCGCACACCCCAGTTATCCCACCCGGGGAGTGGGGGAGCTGGCGAGATATAATTTTTAATGCGCCAACTCAGTCTTTGGTGGAGAGCGGCTTCAGGGGTGTGGTATTAAAACCCTGGCCCTTCTGGTTTGCCGTGCATGTGTGGGCTAAGTGGTCACACTCCTGTGACGGGGGCAAGCCCTCAGACAGAGATTCGCCTGCT